AAGATGCCCCTCTTGGACCCAACTTGAAACCCGGATTCGGCCAAGACGCCCTTCTTGGCCCAACTTGAAACCTGGATTCGGCCAAAATGCCCGGCTTGGGGCCCAACTTGAACCCTGGATTCGGCCAAGATGCCCCTCTTGGACCCAACTTGAAACCTGGATTCGGCCAAGACTCCCTTCTTGGGCCCAACTTGAAACCTGGATTCGACCAAGATGCCCCTCTTGGACCCAACTTGAAACCACGCCCTTCTTGGGCCCAACTTGAAACCTGGATTCGGCCAAGATGCCCCTCTTGGGGCCCAACTTGAAACCTGGATTCGGCCAAGATGCCCCTCTTGGACCCAACTTGAAACCTGGATGCGGCCAAGACGCCCTTCTTGGGCCCAACTTGAAACCTGGATTCGGCCAAGATGCCCCTCTCGGGGCCCAACTTGAACCCTGGATTCGGCCAAGATGCCCCTCTTGGACCCAACTTGAAACCTGGATTCGGCCAAGACGTCCTTCTTGGGCCCAACTTGAAACCTGGATTCGGCCAAGATGCCCCTCTTGGGGCCCAACTCGGACCCTCTTGGGCCCAACTTGAAACCTGGATGCGGCCAAGACACCCTTCTTGGGCCCAACTTGAAGCCTGGATTCGGCAAGATGCCCCTCTTGGGGCCAACTTGAACCCTGAGTTCGGCCAAGATGCCCCTCTTGGACCCAACTTGAAACCTGCGTGCGGAAAATGCCCCGCTTGGGGCCCAACTTGAACCGTGGATTCGTCTTGGACCCAACTTGAAACCTGGATTCGGCCAAGACGGCCTTCTTGGGCCCAACTTGAAACCTGGAATCGGCCAAGATGCCCCTCTTGGGGCCCAACTTGAAGCCTGGATTCGGCCAAGATGCCCCTCTTGGACTCAACTTGAAACCTGGATGCGGCAAGACGCCCTTCTTGGGCCCAACTTGAAACCTGGATTCGGCCAAGATGCCCCTCTTGGGGCCCAACTTGAACCCTGGATTCGGCCAAGATGCCCCTCTTGGACCCAACTTGAAACCTGGATTCGGCCAAGACGCCCTTCTTGGGCCCAACTTGAAACCTGTTTTTCGGCCAAGATGCTCCTCTTGGGGCCCAACTTGAACCCTGGATTCGGCCAAGATGCCCCTCTTGGACCCAACTTGAAACCTGCATTCGGCCAAGACGCCCTTCTTGGGCCCAACTTGAAACCTGGAATCGGCCAAGATGCCCCTATTGGGGCCCAACTTGAAACCTGGATTCGGGCAAGATGCCCCTCCTGGCCTCAACTTGAAACCTGGAATCGGCCAAGACGCCCTTCCTGGGCCCAACTTGAACCCTGGATTCTTGGGGCCCAACTTGAACCCTGCATTCGGCCAAGATGCCCCTCTTGGACCCAACTTGAAACCTGGATTCGGCCAAGACGCCCTTCTTGGGCCCAACTTGAAACCTGGATTCGGCCAAAATGCCCCGCTTGGGGCCCAACTTGAACCCTGGATTCGGCCAAGATGCCCTCTTGGACCCAACTTGAAACCTGGATTCGGCCAAGACGCCCTTCTTGGGCCCAACTTGAAACCTGGATTCGACCAAGATGCCCCTCTTGGCAACTTGAAACCTGGATTCGGCCAAGACGCCCTGCTTGGGCCCAACTTGAAACCTGGATTCGGCCAAGATGCCCCTCTTGGGGCCCAACTTGAAACCTGGATTCGGCCAAGATGCCCTCTTGGACCCAACTTGAAACCTGGATGCGGCCAAGACGCCCTTCTTGGGCCCAACTTGAAACCTGGATCTGGCCAAGATGCCCCTCTTGGACCCCAACTTGAACCCTGGATTCGGCCAAGATGCCCCTCTAGGACCCAACTTGAAACCTGGATTCGGCCAAGACGTCCTTCTTGGGCCCAACTTGAAACCTGGATTCTGCCAAGATGCCCCTCTTGGGGCCCAACTTGAACCCTGGATCGGCCAAGATGCCCCTCTTGGGCCCAACTTGAAACCTGGATGCGGCCAAAACGTCCTTCTTGGGCCCAACTTGAAACCTGGATTCGGCCAAGATGCCCCTCTTGGGGCCCAACTTGAACCCTGGATTCGGCCAAGATGCCCCTCTTGGACCCAACTTGAAACCTGGATTCGGCCAAGACGCCCTTCTTGGGCCAACTTGATGCCCCTCTTGGACCCAACTTGAAACCTGCGTTCGGCCAAGACGCCCTTCTTGGGGCCAAGATGCCCCTCTTGGGGCCCAACTTGAAACCTGGATTCGGGCAAGATGCCCCTCCTGGCCTCAACTTGAAACCTGGAATCGGCCAAGACGCCCTTCCTGGGCCCAACTTGAACCCTGGATTCGGCCAAGATGCCCCTCTTGGGGCCCGACTTGAACCCTGGATTCGGCCAAGATGCCCCTCTTGGACCCAACTTGAAACCTGAATTCGGCCAAGACGCCCTTCTTGGGCCCAACTTGAAACCTGGATTCGGCCAAGATGCCCCTTCTTGGGGCCCAACTTGAACCCTGGATTCGGCCAAGATGCCCCTCTTGGACCCAACTTGAAACCTGAATTCGGCCAAGACGCCCTTCTTGGGCCCAACTTGAAACCTGGATTCGGCCAAAATGCCCCGCTTGGGGCCCAACTTGAACCCTGGATTCGGCCAAGATGCCCCTCTTGGACCCAACTTGAAACCTGGATTCGGCCAAGATGCCCCTCTTGGGCCCAACTTGAACCCTGGATTCGGCCAAGATGCCCCTCTTGGACCCAACTTGAAACCTGGATTCGGCCAAGACGCCCTTCTTGGGCCCAACTTGAACCGTGGATTCGGCCAAGATGCCCCTCTTGGACCCAACTGGAAATCTGGATTCGGCCAAGATGCCCTTCTTGGGCCCAACTTGAAACCTGGATTCGGCCAAGGTGCCCGTCTTGGGGCCCAACTTGAACCCTGGATTCGGCCAAGATGCCCCTCTAGGACCCAACTTGAAACCTGGATGCGGCCAAGACGCCCTTCTTGGGCCCAACTTGAAACCTGGATTCGGCCAAAATGCCCCGCTTGGGGCCGAACTTGAACCGTGGATTCGGCCAAGGTGCCCCTCTTGCACCCAACTTGAAACCTGGATTCGGCCAAGACGCCCTTCTTGGGCCCAACTTGAAACCTGGAATGCCCCTCTTGGGGCCCAACTTGAAGCCTGGATTCGGCCAAGATGCCCCTCTTGGACTCAACTTCAAACCTGGATGCGGCCAAGACGCCCTTCTTGGGCCCAACTTGAAACCTGGATTCGGCCAAGATGCCCCTCTTGGGGCCCAACTTGAACCCTGGATTCGGCCAAGACGCCCTTCTTGGGCCCAACTTGAAACCTGGATTCGGCCAAGATGCCCCTCTTGGGGCCCAACTTGAAACCTGGATTCGGCCAAGATGCCTTTCTTGGACCCAACTTGAAACCTGGATGCGGCCAAGACGCCCTTCTTGGGCCCAACTTGAAACCTGGATCTGGCCAAGATGCCCCTATTGGGGCCCAACTTGAACCCTGGATTCGGCCAAGATGCCCCTCTAGGACCCAACTTGAAACCTGGATTCGGCCAAGACGTCCTTCTTGGGACCAACTTGAAACCTGGATTCGGCCAAGATGCCCCTCTTGGGGCGCAACTTGAACCCTGGATTCGGCCAAGATGCCCCTCTTGGACCCACTTGAAACCTGGATGCGGCCAAGACGCCCTTCTTGGGCCCAACTTGAACCCTGGAATCGGCCAAGATGCCGCTCTTGGGGCCCAACTTGAACCCTGTTTTCGGCCAAGATGCCCCTCTTGGGGCCCAACTTGAACCCTGGATTCGGCCAAGATGCCCCTCTTGGACCCAACTTGAAACCTGCATTCGGCCAAGACGCTCTTCTTGGGCCCAACTTGAAACCTGGAATCGGCCAAGATGTCCCTATTGGCGCCCAACTTGAAACCTGGATTCGGGCAAGATGCCCCTCCTGGCCTCAACTTGAAACCTGGAATCGGCCAAGACGCCCTTCCTGGGCCCAACTTGAACCCTGGATTCGGCCAAGATGCCCAAGAGGGGCCCAACTTGAACCCTGGATTCGGCCAAGATGCCCCTCTTGGACCCAACTTGAAACCTGGATTCGGCCAAGACGCCCTTCTTGGGCCCAACTTGAAACCTGGATTCGGCCAAGATGCCCCGCTTGGGGCCCAACTTGAACCCTGGATTCGGCCAAGATGCCCCTCTTGGACCCAACTTGAAACCTGGATTCGGCCAAGACGCCCTTCTTGGGCCCAACTTGAAACCTGGATTCGGCCAAAGTGCCCCGCTTGGGACCCAACTTGAACCCTGGATTCGGCCAAGATGCCCCTCTTGGACCCAACTTGAAACCTGGATTCGGCCAAGACGCCCTTCTTGGGCCCAACTTGAAACCTGGATTCGACCAAGATGCCCCTCTTGGACCCAACTTGAAACCTGGATTCGGCCAAGAGGCCCTTCTTGGGCCCAACTTGAAACCTGGATTCGGCCAAGATGACCCTCTTGGGGCCCAACTTGAAACCTGGATTCGGCCAAGATGCCCCTCTTGGACCCAACTTGAAACCTGGATGCGGCCAAGACGCCCTTCTTGGGCCCAACTTGAAACCTGGATCTGGCCAAGATGCCCCTCTTGGACCCCAACTTGAACCCTGGATTCGGCCAAGATGCCCCTCTTGGGCCCAACTTGAAACCTGGATGCGGCCAAGACGTCCTTCTTGGGCCCAACTTGAAACCTGGAATCGGCCAAGATGCCCCTCTTGGGGCCCAACTTGAACCCTGGATTCGGCCAAGATGCCCCTCTTGGACCCAACTTGAAACCTGGATGCGGCCAAGACGCCCTTCTTGGGCCCAACTTGAGGGTGTTACGGCATGGGTTTTTAGCTTCACAAGTTGCCGGTGCTTTGGTCACGTTCAAAATGAGTGAAAGGCCTTTTGCTCGCTTTGCAGCACAAGCAAACCTAAACCCCCAACGAACCTAACGAACCCGTGCCTTCCTTGCATGTTGCAGGCAATGCGCATGATCTCAACGGAGGCCCAACTTGCCATGTGGGCCACACCTCTGCGTAAGATCTGCATCCATTTCACTTTGCATGGCTTTTGCTGGGGTTCAGCTTGTGAGGATTTTGCCTGGTGCGCCAAAGCTGCAGACTTCACGGCGGGGAAGGTGAACGCTTTGGAGTTCTCTTCTCAAGGGTCCTTCTTTTAGGGCTCGAACAAGGGGTAGAATACTTGGGTTTCTTTAGGGGCTAGCAGATCCTACTGCCGCAGGGCATTCGAGGTTCAGGTCCAGGTTCTGAGGTCGTTTACAGGGGTTTTGATTTTTGCAGGGCTTCTTGGGCTGACGAAATGGGCGTCTTCTCATGGCATACCGGCGTGTCGAGGATGTCGGGTACTGGGTTGTCCTATGTGGCCAGGGATCGATCACATGGCTGAGGAAAGCGGAAAACCCTCTGCCAACTCTTCCCAACCCCTCAAAGAAAGACTTCCCTAAACAAACGCCCGCAGACTCTGCCGGCTGTAATTTTCTGAAAAGCCTAATGTCCTTCACACCTTGAAGTGGCAGCATTGGCCGGCGGGTTAAATTTTAGTTTGCCCAAAAGCACCTCCAGCTCGAACTCTCGAAGCCTGAACGCCAAAGAGACGAGACAGTGCAGGGTGGTGTCTTCGATCCTGACGGCGAGGGCTTCCGAACCGCGTGGAGCTCACCCCTTCACGCTTCGGTGGTTTGCAAGTGCAGGCTTCGGTCCAGGGCTTAGGGGCTATTGATTGGTGTGATTTCTTTGTTGTCTCGTGTTTTGTTTGGGGGGTTCCCTGTGAGTTTTTTCAGGAGCTGGGGTGACGCTATTGACAAAGCTGTGGGCTCAGGAGTGGCGTGCCCAAATCTGATTGGGGGGGGGCCCTTAGGCCACTCCCGCATTTTTTTGTTCGAGTTTGCTGTCTTTTTTGCTCGTGCTCCCCCTCTTTGGAGGGTCCAAGCTGGGAGATTCTCAATTGCGGCAAAGTATCAGCAGACCTGTTGCGTATGCTGTCCAAAGCGCTCCGTCCGCCAATGGTTCTGAACATTAGAACTCCAGTCAGGGTCTTATGGAGCAGGCTGACAAATGCTGAAAAGCAAACAAGAAACAATCCCAATTCCCTTTGCAGCTGTGCAACACAAC